CAAAAACTACTTCACAGTTAGGGCGGCTAGGAGCTGGAACCAACTTCCAAGGGAAGTGGTGCTGGCCCCTACCCTGGGGGTCTTTAAGAAGAGGCTGGATGCCTACCTGGCTGGACTCATTTGAGTCCCATTTCTTGTTTTGGGGTTTTGTTGTTCTCCCGCCCTGGCGGGGGGTCGGGCTAGAAGATCTACTAGGTCCCTTCCGACCCTTAATCTATGAAACTATGAACTTTACAGTTATGAGGAAGATTAAGCACTGGAACAGATTAGCTGAAAGAGAAGTTTGTGGCATCTCTGTCACTGGAAGTTGTTGAATGCAGGTTAGATAAACATCTATCCGAGATGGCTTACACAGGAATGAATCTGCCTTGAGTAGGGACTCGGACCAGATGACCTTCTGAGGTTCCTTCCAGTCCTATTTTTCTATGATTTTTCACCGTTTGTCCAGTTTGAAAAGTGCAGGTCATCCAGTCAGGAAGAACAAGCAATTGAATTTAACTTAATTGAGAAACCATGTACCGTAAAACACTAACAAAAGGAAAATACTCAAAATATACTGCTAATGAACAGCATGCAGGCTCAAATCTGATTGCACAAAATGTTTGGTGAACATTTTAAACAAACATTTCCTAAAAATGCAGAACTCAGGATTAGTTTGTGACCAATATCCAAACAGGGGAAAAGGGGACTCAGTTTGCAGCTAATATTAGTCACAATGGATGATCAGACCAGATCCCACTTGGTAGAGACAGCTACTGCTCACTGATTCTACCCAATGAATTCCTGAAGAATTCACTGCCACTGGGAAAATACAGTGAGATATTTACTACCCAGTCTCCTCTCCCCTCCTGCTAAGATTTTCAGGTGTATTTGTGTCTGATTTCCTTCCTGCTTCTTTCCCTGCCATGAAATATAGAAAACATGCCATCTTTACTTGAATCCAAGATGACTTTGAATTTAATACAACCTTCTCCAATAATTAGATTCTACACATCAAAAATTATAAATGTTATAATTTTCTATATATAGACTATAGTTCCATGTGAAGAATATAATTAATGGAGGGATGTCTTAAGGATCCTGTGTCTTGAGCACCCCTGCTCTAGTATGTAAGAACTAATGCTTCTTATTGCTGTTTTTGCTTCAATCCAAAATGAAGTTTTTTCCCCATTTAATCTCATCTTGGATTTGAGTTCATTTTGGGGCAGTTGCAGCTCCATCTCTGCCTCCAAATCCAGGCCCAATCTGGGGGAGACTGCTTGGTGCAGTGGAGATAGGAGCATAGGGAAACCATGCGATGTGGCAGGAAGCCCCCAGAGCCCTGTCATCTGACCTGCAGAGCTCCCCATGGATCTGAAAATCTAGCAGCAGGGGAGTGGTAGCAGCAAGCATTGCCATTCCGCAGCCCCCAGGTTTCCACACCTGTGAGGAGCCCTGAGGGAGGATAGTTTGGCCCTGTGTGCTAAATCGGACGTGCAGGGTTGGAAAAATCCAGGCGCACAGGGCTGTGGTGGCACAGGGTGGAATCCCAGAACATGGGGCTTGATCCAGGTGGCATGGGGATCAATCCTGAGCCCTGACCCCACAGGGGATCAGGCCTGCAGACAGACCCCACACCTCACCCACAGAGCCAAAAGATTCAACACACCACTTCTCTAAAGCAATAGACACAAGAAATATATCCAAGTTAGAGGTTCCTTCAGAAGGAATTTGCTAGGAAGAACATTATCCAGACTGTTACTAATTTTAAGATAAAAATTAAAGTTCTCTCCTATAAGCCTCTGTCATTTTTTAAGTTTAATTTGATTATACCAAATATTGTACAAGGTAGCTTTCTAGAGAAATGTGATAATTCAAGAGTAAAAACATTGTTTTAAAATGTACTTGTTAAGTTTTTCCAGAGCAAGTCTACTACACATACTACAAATAAACGCAATAGCTAATTTAATTAATCAAAGTATGTAACTTACCTTTGGAAGCTCTGCATCTTGTTTTCTATGAGACAATAATTTGTAGGTTTTAAGGTTATTTTCAAAACTCCTAAGAAGGAAAGATAATGTTTGCATTAGAAAACGTTAGAAAGACAGTATTGAATTCTTTTGAAACTAATAAGGATTCTGACAATCTCAGTATGCTGAATACACATATTTTTAATACAATTACAAATTGGTTAATTTGGGACATAATATTTCAACTAAACACCAACACATTATACTGTTTGGCTTTTACAGAATGTTATTTAGAAAGAAGCAAAGGGCTTGTATTACTTCTAGTGCCATATTTCCTACAATCAGACAAGGTTTCTGATAAAGCACATACAGTTCATAATTCTTTTAAAGTAAGAAGTGATCTTTTTAGTAATGGAAGGAGGATCATTTTTCTTTTGCTAATCACCTTTAGCCTTGAATGTACCTGACTGGAAAATCATCAGCGTAGTCAGGCTTTATACAAACATAAAAATGTAATGTCAAACATTATTACATTTCATATACTTAGAGTTGCCATATATTTTACTATTACAGTGTATATTTAAGTACACAGACCTAACAAAATCTTGCACTTATAAAAAGTTTATCCAGATGTGATGTGAATCATTAATACACTTTAAGAGCTCTGATACTAACAATCCCCAAACTAACCAGCTCCATAATAATCAAGTCTTTTAACAGTCAGTTTCAATAGCAGCCCTGAAACAGGACCAGCTTTGGTCAATTTCAAGGCTTCTAACAGAAGACTTTGACAGCTACTTTCCATTTGCCATATCTATATAGTTAATCAGAATACACATATCATCTTTTTGCTGCCGTATTTTTTTTTATGACAGCACAAAGGCCAAGCATACAGATGTCGAAATGCCTTGTCATGCCACAACTTCCGAAAATGTGTATCATTTTGTTCTGCTTTATTGTAGCAGACTGTTTTGTGACAAGACAGTGCAGGCAGTCTAGCCACCTCAGTCAAGGGACCAAACCTGGGGAATTTCTGGCGCATGCAGGATGAGGCCCCTAGAGGCCCTAGGGATGCACGCCTGGGTTCTCCCATCTGTGATTCCCTGGGTCCCCAGTAATGCTCCAGTACAGTCCCAGGAATGGGGCCGACTGGTGGCCTTAGCCCTGGGACCACACTGAAATGTCAAACTCACTGACTGGCAGCCTCTGCCCTGGGACTGAACCGTATAAGAATATATAAAAGAATCATTGAGGATATACCCAGTCAAAGTATCTAATTTCAGAGACTAGTGAAAGACATTTTTAAAGAGTGATCATATCATACTCTCCGGAAAGTTTGTCTGGAGATACTGGCTCACATAAGGAACTACACCAATTAACCAGCAGTCACTCACTCTATCCAAATAGTGACTTTCCAAATTCAGACATTTAAGAACAGAACAGAGATGAAATAATTACAAATACAACATTTTTAAAAACTGGAAATATGAAAGGAAACTGAAAATATTAATTTAAATATCTACTTTATTTAAATGTACCTCTATTACTATTTAATATTATAGTCATATTTAATTTGAAAATGTTTAAAATAATGAAAATGATAAAACTCACTACATTACAGAACGCTAGTAAGTGTTACTGATAGCCAAAAGGTGTTTTGTCATTAAACACTTTGAAACAATTATCATGCTAATTCTCATATTAACTTTCCCAGATTGCGTTCATTTTTGTACTTGTTCTATCTTCTCAGAGATTTAATATTACTCTAAGAGAAGTATATGCAATGGATCCCCGCTAAAAAACTAGGTAGTCAGTTCCAAAAATCACATATAAGTAAATATATATTGTAGATATTTTAATTTGTTATCAGAGATGTCTCCTTTCTCTCTAGAATATCAAGTTATGCTGGGATTAAATGTCTTAAATAAAACTGTAGCTAATAACTGGCTTGCTTTCCATACCCTTGAATATGAAACTGTTGATATGAACTTTTCTAGATGACCATCTTAGTGTTAACAGGAAAGAAAAGCAGTTCAGTTTTCACTACAGTAAGTGCGCTGGTGTGAATTACTTTGCCATACCTTCCTCGAAGCTGCACAGCCTCTTTAAACCTTGTTTCATCCATTGCCTTCTGTACTTCTTGAGTCTATATAAAATGAAAAAATTAAAAAGGTCAGTTTAAAAACAAAGTTAGTTTGTAAACAAATCTGTTCTGATGCAACACCTCAACTTGAAATACTGACAGGGCAAGCTAATGCTTGATTCATTTTCTCCTCACATGCCAGACATCAGCATTCTGGCAAATGTTAATTGCCATTTCTTCAGAGGACAATCATGTTTCAGAGACAATGACAAGAGCATCACCAAGGGGCATGGAATAACAACTGATTTATTGTATATTTTATTTTTTAAGTTTAAATTGGAATTGCCATTGAGTATTTTTGGAGGAAAAAACAGATTTAAACGGATGGATGAAGAATTTGTCCTCAAAGAGTTGAGGTGCAATATGGAAAATTCAAATTTCACTTAAAAACAGCTCTAGTTTCTAAGTCGGGGAGTGGGAGTAGGAAACAAAGCATTGTATTTGTCAGTGGTTACCCCTAAAACAACTCCAGAGTAATTATACTCAAAGACAACATTCCTAGAGTTCATTATTCTGAACACATTAAGTGATCCACTCATCTCTGATGATGTGTTAAAACTGGTAACAGACCACTGATTGTTACACATAGTATTCTGTTGTACTTAATGAAGAACTATAATGTGGCACTTCTCCAGGAACTCACCATCTGCACGCACTCCATTAAAGGCAGACGTACAGCCTGGTTTCCAGACAGGGACACAACACAAGCAGGAGTATCTGGTGTAGCCTCAAGTAGGGCAAGGACGGCTTCCACACCCATACGGCTTGCCTGAAGATAAAATAAAGAAATAGGATTAAATATTCAGAGATGCACTCATAAGAGTAAATTAGCTACACTCGCAAAAACTGGCAAATACCTAAGACAACCTACACCCCTGTAAGACTTCTCTTTACATCCAGCTAAAACAAGAAGTCCTTAATTTGATGAGAGCTCTTTTACTAAACAGTGAAGCTGCTCTCATCCTGTTTCCCCTCCATAGTCAGGTTTGATAAGAATTTTTATGAAGAGGATTAGATGTATTTCAGACAAGGGCTTTTTTTTTTAAGCTATCTACCTATGTACCCATATGGTCCCCATTTAGAGCAACATCTGTATATGGGTACCTATGTGCCTCGGCATCTGCTGGACCCCCCAACAGCCAGCCAAGCTGGTGGGGACTTACTAGGATTATAACAAGAAGCCCCTTCTTGCCTGCACCCCCCATTTCGTGCATTTCTTTTTCCTTCTGAGTACTGGCAGAGACACAGCACACTCACTGCATGGGTGTGGTAAGGCTTGGAGCAAGCCAGAAAGCTGAAATGGCTTTCTGTAGGACAAACCTACAAACTACATCTACATATCAATTGAGTTAAGTGTCACTAAAGAAAACAAAAGAACTAAAATATCCACTTCAAAGCAAAGCCTGTAAGAAACAAGAAAAGCCAAGGTGCACTGAAAGCATGACTGTAAATATATCTTGGTGAACACATTCCCCCTTTGATTAAGACCTATTTCCCAAAGCAAACTTCCCATATCTGTCTAAAGTTTATGCTAAATCAGTCTACTGCGTCTAACCTAACTCACATATTGTCCCCAGTGGCCTCTGATCCTCACTAATTCACATGGCATTTTTATATATTTCTCACAGTACAATTTTATATTTCACCTGTCTCATCCTTGCCTTGGCATTTTATATTTTATATTTTATGCTTTTAAACCCTTAAGGAATGTACTCCCTGTAGAATGAAGTTATACCCTGGACCACTGTCAAAAAACTGCATTCAAATTGTAATTGTTATGTGATAAAATCTCCTATATTGGGCTGGTCCCTTGAGTGAATGCAGGTATGAGTCAATAGATAAATGAATGACAAAGCAAGAGCCTCTGGCCATTAACTGACAATAGCCTAACCACAGGAATTTACCATCACAAAACTCTACAAGCCATTTTAAGCTAATTAAGCCATCTGAAAACTGCAAGGACACAGCCATTGAATCAATTAAGTTAAGCCAAAACTACGTGATTTGGGTGAAGTCCTCAGTAACTGTAACTAACAGCTTTCATGCACTACTCAAGACCCATGTGGGACAATGACCTCCAGATTGGGCAACCAATATGATGCTGGGGGATCATAAGTCTGCCAAAAAGGGATAAAAGGCAGTGAAGCGTGACTGTCAATGGCATCCCTCTCATCCAGCATACCGACCTACTGAGACAAGGACAAGAAGACGACCCTTCTGAAGAAGACATTGCCCTGGAAGAAGCTGACCATTGGCAGCAGACTCCAGCACCCCGGATAGGTATATACCAACACTGGTGCTACACTACTATTGCATTAATTGTGTGTGTGTGAGTGTGTGTGTGCTGCTGTGTGTTAAGGTGGCCAGTACCCCTTATAACTCAAAGTTTGCATTTATGATTTTATTGATAACTTCACATCCTGTACAATAAATTAAAATTCGTTATGATCCTGTAAGCTGGTCCTCTGTAGCCAACAGAATGAGTCCGGACAAATGGCGCAGCCCTGGCGTGTCAGAGAGCAAGGTCCGGGGAAGTCCGGGGAATCAGGTAGGCACCCGGGGCTGAAGAACATGTGCCTCAGGGAGCCAGCTCTGATTGGCCTGGAGAGAAGACCAGGCAGTTTAAAGGGAGATACTGAAGAAGGCACAACATTTGGCGTCTCCTGGAGCAGGGACCAGGCAGCTGGACCAAGGAAAGGGATCAGCAAAGCTAAGGACCCTCTCCAATGAAAACCTTGTGGAATATTGGGACCCCCACAAGCCCTGAGTCAGGAGCACCCCAGAGTGTCCAGAGAGTTAAGTAGCAGTGGATGCTGGGGTAACAGGGGTCTTCCCTGAGAGCCCAGGAGCCGGGGTCAGGAGAGAGAAGACCAGGTCCTGGCTGATGGCCATGAAGCAGTAAGAGGAAAGGACAGTCCCATTGCAGGTATTGGGGTCTGGGATAAACTCAGGCAGCCAAGGCAAAGAAAAAAATTTGCCTAGCATGCTGGAGGGGAAAAAAGAGAAACAGTATAAATCAGGACAGGGGTAGCCTAACAGAACTTTGACTCATGTAGGCAACAACTGCAATTTTGGGCTGGACCCGATGATCTGCAAGGTCCCTTCCAGCCCCTAGCAATCTATGAAAAATCAAACCTTTTTTTTTCCAGCTTTCTTTGAATTACGGAATCAAGGGACAATATAGGCCAGGAGAAAGATACTTCCTTCCCTTTTGGATTTAGGGTCCCTGGGGGAGAAGACGAACAGTTGGGAGGAAGGAACCTCCTTTCTTTAGTTAGGTCCTCATTATATATAGATCAATCTCCTACACTTGGGGCTTTAAAGAAGCTTTATAGGGGCTGAAATAAGACTGGAAGGGACAGGGAAGCATAGAACAGGACAAGCCTGGATAATCACAGAAATACGGAGTCCTCAGTAGGAAGAAGTGGGGATGACAACCAAGGAGAGAGAGAGAGAGAGACAGAAAGAGGACAAAGGTAGAGTAATCCAACAAGTACAGCCAAGAACAGGACCAACCAGGAGAAACCAAGGCCAAAGAATAAGAGAGTAAATAACACAGTGGAGTTTGGGCAGAGACCCCACAGATATCTCACACTCCAGGCCAGCAGAAAATAGTGAATGACCACCTGAGAAAAAAGGGGCTGGGTGTAGGGGAGGTGGAGCCCAGCAAAAGATTGTGGTTCTGTCAGATGGACCTCTGCACAGAGAAACATCTATCCACCTAAACATTCTTACAACACCAAGGCATGGCAGGTGAGCGTGGAAAACAAACCAGGGCCCAAGGTACTTCTAACACAACAGGGCAGGTAAAGGGAACCCACTTGCTCAGACTACGCATTTATGTTGTCTTCAGATCCACACTTCACAGTTGTTATTATTTTAGGTATTGCAAGGTAAATAACAAAGGCAAACTAAGGGCTTGGGCACAGGATGACAAATTTGACTTGTGTACAAAAAGGAGATCCCTGCAACGCATTATTTACTAGAACCCAGTTTAGAATTATCCTGAGAAAAACAACACTAGTGTAAGTTACCCCACAGGTATTGTGCATTTGCAGTTATCCCAGGATAACCATTTGATCAGTGCAAACATTGCCTGCTCTTCCAGCACCTTGGCATGAAGCAATGCTAGAATACTTTTCCTGTTGTGGCTTATTTTAAATTGACAACACCGAGGGCATTTGTTTACATGTTCTACATGTGTAGAGGAGAGGGGTGCTTTAATTAGAGTGGTTTTGATAGCCACCTCCTGGCTTTTGTACAGGCACCTTGAAAGGAGTTTCCTTCCAAAACCAAAGGGAAGTAGGGAGAAGAAGGAAATTGGGAGAGATTACCTAAATTAATTGATGTAGTTAATTACATTAGGACTGCTGCAGTGTGCTGAAAGAGAGTAGAACTGGAATGGACTGGGAGTTGTAGTGAAGGAGTTTGATCCAGGGCAATCTGGATTCAGCTGGAAGGTCAAAACCAACCCAGTGGTGACAGACATGTGGTCAAGGCAAGAGGGATCAGAATTAAATCCTCAGAGAATTCACAGGGCACATAAGCATCAGGTTTGTTTCTTAGTCCCTGGGTACATAGAGGTTAGATTTGGGCAACTAAGTCAAACAACATTACTGTTATTACTACAGTCACCGGGGGATAAAGACAAAAGGGCATAGGTAAGTAAAGAGCTGGGGACCCGGGTAAAAACTTAGCAAGAGGCACCTATAATGGGAGCTTTAGAAATGCTCCCAGTAAGAGAACAGGACAGTCCGTCAGAGCCCTGAAATGTTTATATAATAATGTGAGAAGTATGGGGAACAAACAGGAAGAACTGGAGGTCCTAGTACAAGCACTTCCATATTGCAAGGCATGGAGAGCTTTAATTATTAGAATATCTGCTGGGAGGGACACACAGCAGTACGCAACCAGTCCAGCAAATTCCTGGAGTGTATTGGGAATAAGTTTTTGATATGGATCAAAAATTTATTCCCAGACCAACTAGGAGGGAAGATCTTTTTGCCTTACTGCTCACAAACAGGGAAGACTTAGTTGAGAAAATGAAGGTGGAAAGTAACTTGGGTGACAGTGGAGTACAGTGATCATAGAATTCAAGATCCTAAGGGGAGGAAGGAAGGAGAGCAATAGAACTCAGAGAACTGTTGGAAAAGATCTCTTGGAGGCAAGTCTGAGGATAAAGAAGTCGAGGGGCTTTTGTACAGATGCTTGCGCTGCAGTGCTGGGCACTTTTAAAAGCACCTGGCACTGGGTACATGAAGTTGTATAAGTGGTGAAATGCATGTCAGCGTTGAGAAAATGGCAGCAGCACACTGTTGAACTAAAACACACTGAAGGTGTTTTAGTTCAAAAGTACACCACTGCCATTTTCTGCATGCTGACGCGTATTTGGCCACTTATATAACTACATGCAACGCAGCGCAGTGCACAACAGCTCATCTGCAAAGCAGACTATTAAGTCTGCTCTGACCTGCTGGATCTCTGGTGTGTTGCGAGATGAAAAGGTATGTGTATACATGCCCCAGAAGAACTGGCTGTACTTTAAGGAGGCTCTTTAAGAGCAGAGGAGCAAGCTAGACAGAAGAATGGGAAGTGCAATAAGAGACCAGCTCGGCTGGGCAGCAATCTCTTCAAGGAGCTGAAACTCAAAAAACAATCCTATAAAACAGGGAAACGTGATCATCTTAATAAGGAAGAGTAGAAGAGCACTGTTCCAGCATGTAGGGAGAAAATTAGGAAGGCAAAGGCACAATTTGAGATGCAGCTGGCAAGGGACATAAAAGGTAATAAAAGTCATAAGTAAGAGGAACACCAGAGAAACTATAACTCCCTTACAGAATATGGAAGGCAATCTAGTTACAGATGATTCAGAGCAGGCTGAAGTATTTAGAGCCTTTTTAACTTCAGTGTTCACAAACAGGGGTAGCTCTCAGATAAGTGATGTTGGCAGAAAAGACAGAGAAAGAGAGAAACAGCCTAGAGTAGTAGAAAAACAGGTTAGGAATTAGAAAAGCTGGAGTCAGGAGGGCCAGATGGGAAGCCTCCTAGGATAATGAAAAAAAATGGCCAAGGATACTTTCAAATCAGCAGCACCATTGGAGGAATTGGTGGAGGTAATTTTGGAGCCACTGGCTGTCCTCTTTGAGAATTCCTGGAGGTTGACCTTTGAAAGGTCCTGTGTGACTGGAAAAAGACCAATATCGTGCCCATCTTTTAAGAAAGAGAAGGAGGAGGAACAAGGTTGATGCAGATCAGTCAGTCTGATCTCAATAACTGGAAAGATCATGAAGCAGGTCCTCAAATAATCTATTATGAAGCACCTAGAGGAGAACAAAGTGATCAGAAACAGCCAGCATGGATTCAGCAAGGGCAAGCCATGCCTGTTCATCTTATCATAGAAGAAAATCAGGTTGGTCAAGCATGACTTGCCCTTGGTGATTCTGCCCTGTGGATAGGGAAGAACAGATGTGATATACCTTGACTTTAGCAAGGCTTTTGACACCGTCTCCCACAAACATTCTCATTAACAAGCTAGGAAATACAGAATAGATAAAGATACTGTAAGATGGACACACAACTAGTTGGATCACTGTACTTCATTCACTCATGAATGGCTCAATGTCTAGTTGCGAGGAGGTAGCAAGAGGGGCGCCCCAGGGTATTGTTTAATATCTTCATTTATGGTTTGGACAATGGGATTGAGTGCACACTTCACAAATCTGCAGATGACAGTAAGTTGCATAGAGTTGCAGATACTCCAAATAGTAGAGCTAAAATCCAAAACAACCTGAATAGATTGTGGACCATTTTTTTCCAATCAATGAAATGAGATTCAACAAGGACAAGTGCAAAGTCCTGTACTTGGGATAGAATAATTGCATGCATAAATACAGACTCAGAAACGGTAGGCTGCAATATTGCAGAGAGGGACCTGGGGGTTACAATAGGCCATAAACTGAATACTAGTCAAGAGTGTACTCTTGCCACAAAAATATGCTGTTGGATTTTGTTGCATTTATATAAATGCCACTTGCAAATTAAGGAAAGTGATTCTTCAACTCTATTTAGCACTGACAAGATTTCACCTGGAGTACTGCATCCAGTTTTGGGCCCCACACTTAAAGAATAATGTTGACATTTTGGAAAAAGTCCAGCATAGAGCAATAAAAATGATTAAGGGTCTAAAAGGCACAATTTATGAGGAAAGGTTGAAAAAAAACAAAAAAAAAAACAACTAGTGTTATTTAGTCAGGAGAAGAGAAGGCCACGAGAGGATTTGGTAACAATCTTCAAATATCTGAAAGGCAATTACAGAGAAGACAAAGATGGGCTTTTCTCTGTGGTTGCATGGGAGAGGACTAGGAGCAATGGCCTCAAGCTGCAGCAGAAGAAATTGAGGTTGGGGATTAGGAGGAACTTTCTGACTATGAGAGTGGTCAACCACTGGGATAAGCTACCTAGAAAATGGTCCAATCTTCATCCTTGAGACTTTTTAAAGCACAGGTTAGATATATCTTTGGCTTGGATGGTTTAGTCAAGGATGATCCTGCCTTGACAATAATATCCTGCCTTGAGCAAGTGGCTGGACCAGATGAACTTGTGAGGTCCCTTCCAGCCTTACTTTCCTATGATCCTATTTTTGTTGAGATCTACGTTTTTCCAGCATTCCTGGACAGAGAGAGGTATTAGAGGTCCACTCACCAAAATTCTGTCAAAAGCTGATGGTGTACCACCTCTCTGAACATGACCCAGTATAGTCACACGAGTGTCAAATCCCAGGCGCCGAACTACAAGCTGCAAACAATTTCAAAAGCAAGTGAGAAATATAAAACAGGATTAACACAGTAGTTATATAGTATGCATACATTAGCAAAAACCTTTTTGGAAACTTTTGGCATTATGATCATGATATTAGACTATTTATCCATACATTTACACAACTACTCCCCCCCCCAATAATTAGATTTTTTATATTTTATTATGTATAAATAAAATAATGTGGTATACTTTTTCATGTATAGAATCTAATATTTGGAGGCCTGTCTTAAAACTTGCCCTCCCAGCACTGAGGGGGAGAAAGCAGCAGGGGTTTAAGGGGTCAGGAGGCAAGTCTTTTGTGCCCCTTGTTCCCCATGTTGAAAGAAGGGTAGGGAACTCATTTTGGATTTGAGTAAATATAGCTCTTTCATCGACATTAAGATAACCAAATCTCCAGGCACTTCCTTTAATGGAACATTTGGTTTAATAACAACAACAAAAAGGGTTCTGAAAGCAATGCTTTATCTGCAGAGAGATATAGCTATTTTATCTGTATTTATGCATACTGTCCTCAACCTTATAAAGTATAAACATCACAAAGATCTGGAAAAAGACTACACTGAAATAGGTTTATACATGTACAATTTTATGCATTTTGAGGTGGCTAAAATTCAGGATGGCTTTCAGCCTTCTACAGATCTTACTGCTTTTGGTTAAAATGAACAATCAAAAGGAGGTATAATACTTTGTTCTGGAAACTTTGAGCTCTACAAAACTAAAAGTGCTGACTTCGTATTCCTCTGAATAACAGCAAGAGCTGCTAGGAAGTATTATAATTAAAATGTTAAAAACATCCCTGAAAGTGAAATAATTTGATATTAAATAACAGACATATGTTAACAGGTCCAAACAGCTACATGCAGCTGTTTGGGTTTTTTTGCCTGCAGCTAAAGTGCAAGTCAAATTTTATTAAAATGGGAACACTTACCAACATTAATTGTGTTACAGTAGTAGATCAGAAAGGAAGAAAAGAGAATAAAGTATGGCACACTTTCCCAGTCATTCAACTCTTGCAAGGCAGTTAGGAGATTTATCTACACTCTCACTCTACAAGTTTCAGTCCCAATTGATACAGCTTCCTTGATATTTTAACAGGCTGTGGTCTGTGCAACAAGGAAGCAGTGCTTACTTCAACCAAAATTTAAGTAACAACTAATTTCTATACTTTTGCTTAAAAACTCTAGTCAAAGCCAATTTGTATTTCATTTGAAAAAACATAATTCTGTACTGATGTATCAAGGACCGTTGCATCATTTTTGTGTTCCTCAAAAGCATCAAACTAACAGCGGTAAAAAACAAAGTCTTGTAACCATACACTGGATAAAGCACAGACAATGTCATTTAAAGTTTCTTCATACCATCCTTACAGTCAATGTGTTCCAAAATCTGAATAAAAGGATAATTTCCAAGAATGACATGCTAATTTCAGTCTAAATGCCTGTTAAATCCTTGGCCTCTAATGATGTGAGCATTATTATTGAGATAGCAACTTAACAGACAATTAAACAACTTCTTCCAAGAACATCATCTGATAATGATTACTGCTCTAAACCAAATTTTAACAGACTTTCTAGCAATCAAATAGCTGAAAACACCCACTTCATTAACTACCCTCTACTTTAAGTACATGTGCACACATGCACAAACATACACAAATATATATGCACATACACATTCCACTCAAAAACTCAAATAAGCCATCAGAAAAAGACCCATTTACTTTGATGAAATTTGAGTTCAGGCTATAAGTCAAAGGTATAAAATATAGCTTACAAGTGCTGGAAGAGTCTGTTTTATAGAAATTTCCATGGAATTTCTATTTTTATCAATAAGTAGAAAGCAAACAGCACCAAATTAGATGTAGTGCAAGTAGAAGGAGCACTACAGGGAGAATGATACTTACATCTTTAACTTGCTCCGATGTTATGGCTTTGTTGTGAGAATCAATGGCACCTTCTGCTACAATGATAATATTCAGCCTTTTCTTTCTTGCACGGTTCTATGGGAATAAAAGCAATTGCACATTGCAAAAAGGCCAAAAACACCAGTATAGTACAATTTTGAAAACAAATTTCTATATGTTAAATTCCAAAGATAATTATAATTAGGGATTCTTCTTCTCTTATTTTCATATTCTCATACATCTTATGCATACGCAGGGTTTTCCAGGGGCAAAGTGAAGTGTTCTGTGATGGGCAAAAGCCACAAATAGGCATTCAGGGCATTTATACACGTACACATTTGTCTGTTCTGATGCACTGGAAATCCAGCATGTCAGAGCAGACTCAATTAATCGAATTGCTCTGCTTGCAAGCTGATGTGCCTGGCAGTGCGTGGCATGGATTTGTATAAATGGCAAAATACACATCAACATTGAGACAATGGTGGTGGTGCGGTTCTTCGGTGCATTTTAGTTCAGAAGCACACTGCCATTTTCTCGGCATTGACGTGCATTTCGCCATTTATACGAATGCATGCGCTGCAGTGCCAGGCACTTTTAAAAGCGCCCAGTGGTGCAGCATAAACGGGTATAAATGCCCTCAGTTTCTAACAGTAGCAATTTTCCACAGCTAGAAATGTTTCTGGGAGATGAAGCAGTACAGGCATCCAACATGCAACTACCCCTCTCACCTTCTCCTCAGACCAGGTAATCCTGTCTGGGGAAAGCATGGGGAAAAGCAGCTGCTCCAGTCCTCCCATTCCCAGTGCCTATGAGCTGAGCAGACCGACCAGCACAGCAAAACCCCTGCCCATGTCTCACACTAGAGTCCCCAGTGTGAGAAGCAGCAGGTGGCTCTGCATCCCTTGATGTGGAGGAGGAAGGGGATCAGTCTATAGGACGGGCAGGAGCAGCTACCCCTCCATTCTTCTTCAGAACAGGGTGAACCCGGCCTAGGGAAGGTACAGGTGTTGGTCCCTGCCACTCGATTCCTCCCAAGACTAGGATGAAGCAAGCAGCACCTCCTCCCCTCATCTCCCCCCACCAACCAGGGTGACCCCAGTCTCAAGAAGGTACAGTAAGCATTTTCTCACAAATCAAGTGCTCCTGGAGCATTTATACACATACTTTTTTCTTCACAGACATGCTGATCTGCGCTGCATGCAGCTGTATAAGCAGCAAAATGCATGTCAGCATGCAGAAAATGGCAGTGGTGAGCTTTTGAATTAAAGTGTTTTAGTTCAAAAACACGCCACTGCCATTTCCTCAAACCTGACGTACATTTTGCAGCTTATGCAACTGCAAGTATTGCAATGCCAGGTGCTTTTCAAAGCGCCTGGCGCCATGGTGCTTGCATGTGTAAAAATGCCCCTGGTATCTGGGAGGAGTCAAAGGCAGGGAAGTATACAGGCATTTTTCTGGGACAGACTGTCTCAGGAGCAATTTCTACTGGATCAGAGATGGGTTATTTTAATTCCAGAACTGCCATTTTTTTATTCTGAAAGAAAGTATGCAAATGCCTGTACATCTGTGGTTTCTACTGGGAAAGCTGCCCCATAGAAATGCAATGCCCATATGTGGTCAGACAGAAAAAACAAAACCAGGTCCGTTGTGGCAATGTGCAAAGGGGCTGTGGCAGCCCTAGAGGGAATCACGCAGTGATTCAGTTAGGCCAGAGTGCCACCAACAAAACCAGTAGCAAAAAATGTCACTGAATGGGACTTGATCTATGCTGTTTCACTGGCAGGTACTACTTCTCAGGTACAAGGGTTTATTCAGCATGCTGAATGTCCAAGATGAAGTAACAAATTACCTCAGACAGCTTAAAACACATCTTATCCTCCCATCCTTCTTCTGGGGGGTATTCAGGAATGAACACCCAATCTGCACCACAAGCTAAGGCACTCACAAGAGCTAGATACCTAGTAAGTACACACAAAAAAATACCCAAATAAGCAGGGAATTACAAATCCGTTTCACATTTTTTTAAAATAACATTTTTCTAGATACTAACTGGTGAAAACAGTACATACCCACAGTGTCTTCCCATAACCTCCAGAACAAAGGTCCTCTGATGGCTATAAAATGACAAAGAAACATCAATGCAATTCAAAGCACCAATCCAAATCCCACTGAAATCAATGAAATGTTAAACACTAAAAATAACACACAGTATACCAGAAGTAAAGTATTATCTCTAGTCTAATGGGACAGAGAGAGAGAAGAAAAAAACAACTCAGAACAATCAATGCAACTTTCCTAAAACCCTTTATGTTCTGTGGCTGCTTACATATGTTTAAAAAAAAAAAAAACACCACGGCGCTTTACTTTAAACTCAGTGCACTTCTGTGGCCAACCCAGCACATGCCCAGAGGAGGCATTGCATTAGCTGGACCTGGCTCACCCAATGTCTGTATAGATTGGGTACTTTAAGGGGCCATTTTTTGGTGCTTCTATTTAATAGCTGGTTGAATCAGCTTTAGATAAAAGCACCAAAAAGTCCCATGAAGCACCCAATCGATAAAGACACTGTGGAGCCAGGTCAAACTAACGTATTGCTGTTTCCATTAAAGCGCTATTTAAAAAAAAAACCCCTCTGTAAGCAGTCATAAGACATCACCCAGACACAAGCTTTGGTCAATACGAAATATGGTGGCCTGGTGACTACAATTTGTGACAGGAATAAAGGCAACAAATAAAACCAATTTTTTTTCTCTCTCCTGCATATTTAAACAACTTATTGTAGGGCTGCTTTCTTTTTTTTCTTTTTTTTTTTTTTTTTTTTTTTT